TTTAAAACCTCAGTAAATCTAAATAGAAGAATGTCATGATCCAAGCTTGTCTCCCATGAAAGATGAAACAAAGCCCATGGTATTTAGATCCTGAACTCTCTGTCTGGTTTTTCAGGGGAAATAAGCCAGTGAATGACAAATCCCCTTCTTCTTAAGGGGATGGGGACAGGAAGAAAGAGTTCCTGCTCTGACGGAAAGGAGGAGACAACATCAGTATGACCTGAGCCCTGGCCAGACTGCACCTGTGCTTGGCATGCGTCCATCCTTTCCGGGGGTGGCCTCTGTCTCTGACTGCCACCCGAGCAGGGGCCCAGGCAGAGCTGGTCCACCGTGCACAGGGCGTTCCCTGTCCACCCAGCACATCCTGTCCATGCCAGGATCCGAGGTCCCCTGCTCTGGGGCCTGACGTGAGGCACGGGGACCAGAAGTTGGTGCTGCTTTCTACTTTGCTCTCGAAAGTCTTTTCTGCATTTCAGATAACAGGAATAGAGTGCTCCGTTTGGGCATTCCTGTGGGCGGCATTTAAGGATTTGGGCGAGCCAGTCCAAAGGCACTGTACAATAGGCAGGGGTGTGTGCTAGATGGATTTTCCAGAATTTGGGCAGGAGATGAGGGAACAGACCAGGGGAGACCATGCTAGCAGGGAAGACGGAGAGAGAATTCATCGATCCATGTTTAAGAGGTAAAACCAAGAGGTCTTGATGATTCACTAGATGTGGAGAAGGGTGCAGGCAGAGGAACCCAGCATGATGCTCAGCTTCCCAGTTTGAGTCGATGGTGGGACCACAAACAAAAACGAAGAACCCAGGAGGCAGACCGACTTTGCAGGCAATGAAGGGTTTCGTTTGGTCCTGTTAGTTTGAGTTACCCATGGAGCACCCAGGTGGTTATTTCCAAAAGTTGGAGAGCTAATCTCTATGTGTTCTGGTCAAAATGCCAAACTATGCTGAGAGCAAAGTAGTGGGCATGGACTCTGGGATATTTCTATTGTGTAAATTTTGAAAGGAGAAAAATATTTTTGGTTATAGGCAGAGAGACCTCATATTGGTGGTCTCCTAAGTGAGGTGGGGAGACATCAGACAGTGATTGGTGTTTCTGGGGTCTCTTGCTATTTCTACAAGCATTGCTTAATGCATTGACGTCAAAGGACCATGCCTGGCTGCCTCTATGAAAATCAGTCTGGTAACCAGGAGCTGACGGAGCCTCTGAAATAAACCTTCAGTTTTGGGACACAACTCAGTTTCTCCATTTTATGCATTCTACAATTAGAGAAAATAATTTAAATAAAATGAGATATTTCCCATGGTTTCATTACTTAATAAAGCAACGGGAGGGAATAGATGAGACTTAATATATCTTCAGTAACATAAACCTCAGAATATGGGACAATTGGCTTTTAAAACAACAACAGATCTTAAAATGATACTTTTTTAAAGTTTCTTACGGAGAACCGACCAAAACCAGATGAGTATGCTGCCATCCCAGGCCCTAGAAGCAGCCAAGGAGCACATAGGCCCCCTGACAGTGCAGAGCTCAGGTCCCAGGGCCAGGCCCTCCCTCCCTCTCTGAGTCGGTCCTTGATCAAGCTGACGGACTTGAGAGTGTGTCTTGAATTCAGCCAAGTGCTTCCCGGGATCTCAGTGGCTTCCGGCGAGAGCGTATTTCTATGATTCTCATTTGCCAGAATAACAACTCTAGCAAGGGGCTCCAATTTGGCAGAAATAATGATAATGCTTGAGCACTTTTCATTCCTAGGGAGATGCTCCTCAGTCTTCTTTCCCAAAGTAAAGAGAAACCAAGTTTATGAACATCTCAAGATCCTCTATTCTACTTAGAGCCGTAGAAAGTTACGGCTAGAGGGGGCCTCAGACATCAGGTGCTGAGAGCTTCCCACAGCCCTTTGGACAGGCCACCTGTCAGGCTGGGACTGAGTGGTGATCCACACGCAGAGACTGATGTTTGCAGGGCATGGTTTGCCCTTTCTTTTTTCTTTTATTTTAGTAGCAAACTTTGTTTAACAAAAAGCTTTGTTGAATGAATAGTACTAAAATGGGGCATGCCGAATAGTTATGTAAGCGTATGATTCTTTGCCAGAACTTGCTTTGAAATGTATCAAGCCCTGGCAACGTTAAAACATTGTTTTATCCAAATGTGCAATTACAAATTCAAGGAAACATTATTTTTCATTAAAATGTTGACTGGAATTTTAAGTGAAGGTCCTGTTCATTCACAGTAGAAAAACATTAATGAAATTTGAAATGAAATGTTGGACTAGCCGAAGGAGAAGTTCCCGAGAACATGTCGAGCTGCCTCCATCCATTCTTCGGCTAATATGATGATGTATTTTGTGTGCTGGACACCTGACAAAGCCAGAAATATGCAATCCTCTTGATTCAATCATTAAATCTGCATTGTGTCCACTGGACACATAATGTTGTACGTGACACTGTTTTAAGAAAGAGCCTGGAGCACAGTCCTGATATGAAACTTCACAGGGAGAACGGGTTGACGTTTCCAGGAGGCATCAGCCACTTCTTTGCGGCCCTTGGGGTGACTGGCAAGGTCAGCAGAGAGTGAAAAGCACGATGTAACCTAAGTCTGTTTGCCTGGGGGAAAGGTGATTTTCACTTTCCTTTGTGAAAGGAATCCAAGTCCATGAGGAACAAAATGCTGAGCAAATATCTGTGCACAAAGAAGGTAAACACTATCAACTGGTTTATGAGGCCTCCGTTAGGTAATTTGTACAGAGGAATATAAATATCTCAGATGTAAAGAGGAGTGAGAGAGAAGACAGGGGGTGCTGGTGGAAGGAACGTCTGCAGACTGGGCTGAGATCCCGGGGAAGCACATTCCTGGGCAAGCTCTACAGGGTTTTCTTCCTCTGGGCAAAAATTATTTCATACCAGTCTTGTGATAACTAAAACATGTTTTTACCGACAAGTGTCTGAGGAAGCTGACTACTGAGGGAAATAAATATACAAAGAAGTTCATGAGAAATTAGCATTTCTCACCTTCATGAATCTAAACAATTTTATTCACATTTCGAGGCAAACGTGCTGGCCTTCTTACAGTTCCCAGTAGGAGGTGGCCAGCTTTTCCAAATGACTGGCCTTTGGGCACATGGTTCCTCCACCAGGGAGAATTTTGGCCCTGTCTTCACTGGTCTGCTCCAGCTCATCCTTCAGCTGTGACCTTGAACTGACCTTCTCAGAGTGGCCTTCCAAGGCACCTCAGAGAAAGTGACCAACTCCTCCCCTTTCTTCTCCTTTTTCTAACAATATCTCGGTCCTCGCCCTCTTTAACACATCACAAAGTGAAGTGATCTATATTTCTGTTTGTTTACTGTCTCATACACGGGTCTCTTAGATCACTACCTGCTCTGTGAGGACAGAGACTGTGTTGGTTTTATCCACCACCGTGAGCTCCGTGCTTACCTAACTCAGAGCTTGGTTCACGGTGGAAATGGGAAAAAATGCCAAATGAATCAATGCCCTTCACACATCATTTAAGTCAATAAATTCTAGATTATTTTTAAACAAGATGCTGGTTAGTTCATTTAACATTCCTCTATCTATTTCTTGCTCATTTATCCTTTAATTTAACACCCAAGAACTCAATTTGACATTGCTTCATGGCTTCATGTACCAGAAGTAAAAAATACACAAAAGTTATCAATTTCTTGATCTCTCCATGGAACCAGCGTTTTCAGATGATTTGGAAAACTGTTCACAGGCAGGTTTCCCTGGCAAGACGGTTGCAGTCCTTTCTGGTCACTATTTGGCCATGACAAGCCCAGAAGTGAGAAATGATTCCACAAAGTTTCACAATCAATATATAAAACTGTAACGTGAAACATTTATAAAAACAGGATTTATAGGAAGCTCTAGGCATAAAGTTGCGTTTATTTCACAAACTCGATCTGAGAACATAAACATTTATTCCTTCTTGGATTTATTTCTTTTGGTATAACTATATTTGATAGCATTTTAGATATCTTTCTTAATATTCTTTTTGAAATTTAAGATAAGAGCCAAAAACATTAATTCACTTTACATATTTTTCTCGTTAATAATGTTTTCTCATGGTGCAGTTTTCTGTCATTAATTAGAACCTAGGGTCCGAACTATGCACACTGCTAATGGAGAAGGGAAATGCGTCTCAGTGATGCTTAGTGGAGTTTTATATATGCATGATATGTATCTATTTATAAACTGTGACAACTTATAAGTGCTTTGAAGATGGCCACAGCTAAACGTAGCTGATAGTGAAGGTTCTTTACAAAGGAGTTCCATATACTTTTCAGGTATTTGAACTTTTTAAAAAAATAAGTAATCCTAGATTAAATCTAGGTCAACAAACTGGCAAAAGAAAAATAACTGTATTAATCGTCTTAAAGCCACATGTCATTGGGCAATATGTATTGTCCAAAATGGCCCATAGTTACCTGGACATTTTGCAATCCACCAAGGCAGGACTGCCCAAGCTATATTACGTCGTTATATCATAATCCCCAATTTCTGCTATACGTTGTTTTTATTATAAAGTATTTCATAAGTTTTCAGGTGCTTTTATAGTTTATCCATAGCCAATAAGAGTTCATTATAAAATGAAACTGTCCTCTTCAAACAAAATACTTAATTTTTTTTTTTTATTCCTACCCGAGGACAATTTTTTTTCCCATTTTTTGTTCAGATAGAGTGGGAGGGAGAGAGAGGAAGAGAGAGAGAAACAGCGACATTAAAGGGACACATCAAGTGGCTGCCACCTGCATGACCAACCATGGCCGGGGACAAACTGCAACTGAGGTACGTGCCCTTAGCAGGAACCGAACCCAGGTCTCTCTGGACCACAGGCCGACGCTCCAACCACTGAGCCAGACCGGCCAGGGCTAAAATACTTAAATTTTAAGAATTTTAAATGTTATATACAGATAAATAGCCAGTGCAGTTGTACCTAACTGAAAACATTTTTGTCAAAAGGAGTCATTGCTAAGTAAACAGGCACTAACACATTTATAATTCTACTTTATTGAAACTAACATTAAAATATATATTGCAATTTGATTCTAGCTGCTTTTTGATATTTAAGTAGTATTATAAAAGGTGTTTTTTGACATATTAATATAGGCAGGCAAATAGTTATGCTATATCAGATTCATCTGGTTATATAATGATGATTCTTAAAGTTAATCATTAAAGAACGTCCCTCGTTCTTTTCTAATCTAATCAATTTATACCATGTGATAACTGATTTTAAAACAAAATCCAAGTTCATTTATAACAAAGTATACTTTTTCAAAATATATAATTACAGCCTTGGAAATGTAAATTTAAAGTGTTAATATTGTTGACCCAAGCCCCCTGTTAATTCCCAGGTGCTCATCAGACTCTACATATTTATTTCATAAAGATGATATATCTTCACCGAGCCCCCAACTTGCGCCTGTGTGTATGAAGCAGACCCAGGACCTCAGCGGAGGGACACGTGGAAAGGACCATCTTGCATCACAGACCTCTGGCCCCTGAGCATCTCACAACGTCAGGACAGTCCGAATGCTGGAATGTAAAATGATCATTTTTAGTGATTTGTGCCCATACTGTCCAAACAAGAACAATTTAAGCAATTATTCTCCCTGTCTGTTCTAGGAAACTTCAGGTAAATTCTGTTGTTGGAAATCCTTCTGGGCCTGAAGTCCACACCAGTGGAATTTCTTTCCCGAGGATCTCTGATAAGGGTGTCAGCTGGGTCTTGAGCTCTTCACACAGCAGCAGCAGGCTGACCTGGGAAAGGAACTTTATGGCTGAAGAGAAAGCATGAAAAAGGCTAGGGAGGGTGAGCAGGAAAGCTAATCCATGGTGCTTAGACTGGACGCCTGGGAAATGATTGGATACATGAGCAACTGAAGAGTAAAAAGGCTTTCAAAACCACGCGAAGGCATTGACAGTTTGGGCATCTTCAGTTTTAGCAGCTTCGTGAAGGGCTGACCACTGTGGTAAATGCAGAAGACAGGAGACCTGTTTCCATGCTACTGTGTTAATGTGTCCAGTGGAGAGATGATTGGACTGAGCTGGGTGATGCTCTGGGCACTGAGAGGGCAGCGAGCTGGAGGAGACCTGGGCAGTCACATCCTCGGGGCTCAGCATCAGTTTGCATGTGGTGGGCAAGAGTGAAGAAGTCAAACGTGATGCTCTGGCTGCTGGTCTGTAAAAGCAGACACACGACACTATTTGCTGAGATAAAAGGTATTAGTGGAAGAATTATTTGGGGCCAAATTGATGCAAGTGGGATACTCAAGTGGAGCCATGTAGGAAGTAAATGGAAATGAAGAGCTTAGGTTTATAAAGGTCAATTTGGAAATCACTGCATTAAGGTGATAGTGAAGCAAAATTCCTGAGAACAAAATTTATGTTTCTTTGGACAACATAAAGTTTAGTATTTATGTTTCAAACTGGCCACATTAAGCTGTTTGTTTTGCTTAACTGAGTGAAGTTTATTCTGACAGTTTAACCCATTGTTTTCTTGCTTTAAAAACAGTTTGAATGTATGTTCCTAATACAATGACCTGGTAGTCTAGACCAGATGTAGAGACACGAGACAACATTGAAAAAGCACTCAGGGGAAAACAGTGAGAATCCAGGTCTCAGGTAATGTACAGTTTGTTCCTTTTGCTAATGAAACCCAAATCCTTGGAACATAGTAGGTGTTCAGTAAATATTTACAGCCCCAGTGAGTGAAATTACATTTTATCTGTAGACAGGCTCTCTGATTGCTGTTCTAAACATCCATGAGCAGACATCATAGTTGACACTTGCGTGAATTTTTTGTATTCTACCTCTACCTTTGCCCAACCCTCAGAAGCAACAAGAAGAGTGACAAGAATGGCCATGTTTGGCTCTGACCAGGTGGCTCAGTTGATTGGAGCATCGTCCTGTAGACCAAAAGGTTTCAGGTTCAATTCCCAGTCAGGGCACATACCTAGGTTATAGGTTTGATATACAAGTTGGAGTAGGTATGGGAGGTAACGAATTGATGTTTATCTTTCATTGATGTTTCTCCCTCTCCTTCTCTCCCAAATCTATGAAAACATACCCTCGGGTAATGATTTTAAAAAGAACACCTATGTTTGCCTGGAGTCTGCCAATTCTGTCAGAGGAATTCAGGGCATGGTGAATTCACAAGCTTCACATTGAGTTTCCATCCTGGTGCTTCCCCTACAGGATCTGGCCTGATATTTGTTTTTCACAGTCTTAGTTTGTTCAGCTGATAATTGTTATAGTCATTTCTGACTGGCAAGTATCCAAAGAAACCACATTTGAAAAATCCCACTGAAAAGTGTGAAGCAAGAAAACGTTGGGGCATTACTTGAGGAAGCTAGCATCTCTATGATAGAATAAAAATAGCCAAGACGAAATCAATCCAGTGTAGAAAAACCAAGGCCCAGAGGATTTTTAAAAATTGGTTAATACAGGACAATAATATACTAAGTCTATGAAAAAGTACTCAGCTATATCAATCTTGCTAGTTTAAAAATTCAGAAATAAAATATGAAAGAAATAAGTATATTTATAAATATTAAATTTTAAAAGTAGCCTGCAGAATGGAGACAAGATCACCATAAAAACAAAACAAAAAAACAATTACCTTTTCCCTGAATAGAGAAGTTCAAATCCTTCTTGGATGTTTTTAAAAGGTAAAACATGAGTTATCAACTGGTCTAGGTCAAATTTCTTTGCCAGGAAATCAGTCACTAGTTTTGGAACTTCATCTCTGCTTTTCCAACCTGTAAATAAGCACATATTTTCTCTTTAGACTTTACTAAATAATTTTTATATTTTATTATATTTGCATCTTGTCTTGTCTCCTCTACCTTTTTGCCTTTTGCCCATATTGAACTATTCTTTCTGCACACAAATAAGCTATTCTTCCAAAGGCCAAAAAACCCTACACAAAACCTTTCATGACCCCACATCTCCTTCTAGCTGCCTCATGTCTCTGTTCCTTTTACAGAAAAGCTTCTTTACAGAAAAACTCCTCTCCAATTCATTATCTCCAGTTTCACTCCCTGTCCACCATTCTCTCTTAAGCCCACTCAGCTCCGTGCTGTTCAACTCTTATCAAGGTCGCCTGTGACCCAGACAACGCCCAGTGCGAGGCCAACGCTTATTCTCTTTCCACATCATTTGGGCCACAAAAATGAGAGGCTTCTTGGTACAAAGGCAGTGCTTGAGGGCTGGCTCCTTACAAGAAATACCACTTGAACTGACGAACAAACAATAAGAGATGTAAGTTGAACCTCCTCACTTTGACTTTTGTGCAGTGTAGGGAGATTACAGGTTATTCCGGAATCTTAGAAGTAAAATTCACTTATTCAGTAAATATCTCTTGGGTATACACTAGTACCAGGTACCAGGCTGGGAAAGAGCAAAACAAATCATATCAGGTCCCTGCTAGCAGGAAGCGTGGGAACCCTCTTATTTTACTGCAGAGACTATAATAAATGCACAAATGCAGAGGACGTCATCCAGTGAGAGCCCGAGAAGAAAAATCGGGTGAGGGCCATAGGCAGTGCCAGGGGAACAGACAGGTGGGGGATGGGAGGGAATGCTATCTTATAATGCTCAGGGAAGGCCTGCCTGATAAGGTGACGTTCAGACAGAAACACAAAGAAATAAGCTAGGCAGGAATCTTGGGAAAGAACATTTCAGGGAGAAGCAGAGTAAATGCCAAGGCGTTGAGGTGGAGTGTTGGCTGGTGAGAACAGCAAGGAGGCCAGTGTGGCTGCCTCAGAGTGAGAATAGGAGAGTGGCAGCTGGGGTCAGGGGGCCAGATCACATGGGTCCTTCTAGCCATTGCATGTTTGGGGATTTTATTCTGAGCGAGAAAAAAAGCCGTAAGAGGATTTTGAGAGGGGCGTGATCTGATCTGACTTCCATTTTAACAGTCACAGTCTGGTTGCTCTGTGGGGAATGTTCTAGACAGGGCCAAGGGCAAGAGCAGGCAGACCCGCTAAGAAGCTACTGCAATGCAGGAAGGAGATGATTATAGCTTGGACAAGTTATGGTGCTGGTGAGAAACAGTCAGATCCTAGACATATATACTTTGAAGATGGAGCCAACAGGATTTGCTGAAATATTCGTTGCATGAGAGAAAGAGTGTGATCCAAGGTTTGGGGATTGATCAACAGGAATGATGGAGCCATCATGTACAGAGATGGCTGAGTTGGGAAGACTGTGGGAAGAGTAGGTTGGGGCTAGGGTAGAGATTTGAGGCAGGTAAGATATGTCAGGTAGGCAATTGGGTATATAAGTCTGTAGCTCAGGTGGAGGTCTAGTCTGAAGATATAAACTTAAAGCCATGAGACCAGAGGAGATTACCTTGGAGGTACATATAAATAAGGACAAGGTCTGAGGACTGAGCCCTGGGACACATCAAAGTTGGAGGATCCAGCAGAGATTCCTGGAAGGAGTGACCATTGAGGAGAAGAAGAAGCAGAACAAGAATAACACACAACCAAGTAATACCTAGAAGCCAGGTGAACAGAGTGTTTTAGAAAAAGGGAGCCATCAGCTGTATCAAATCCTGACAATAGTTCACATAAGACTGGGACTGAGAATTGACCATTGTCTGTGTCAGTCATTCTGGTGTGAGTCTCAATTGTCTCTATAAAATGCAATAATCACTTTTTGTTTGTTTATTTTGATTTTGTGTCCAGATTTTTTTTTTTTGCTGATGTTATTGTGAATTGAATAAATTCTACTTTTCATACATGTTCTTGCACATACTGAAAATGATAGATATAATCAGCACTTTCTGCCCAATACAATCATTCCCATAGAGAGATTGCTGGTGTTTCTCAATCAGGCTTTTGAGAAACTTGAGTTGTAAATGCTAATATTAAAAACATGCCCACCAACATCTGCCTTAAATCAAGGTGAGGAGTGGGCAATCACCTTTGTATCACTGTGGTCACAGTCTCATGCTACGTCACTTTATACCCATCCTTGGAACAAAAACCTTAAAGGGAGATATGATGACAACAGGCTTCTCTAACTCATCAGAGCAACAGAGTTCACGCCAGCCCTTCCAAGCCAGAGGCTCTGCTGTCCTTACCTCCAAAAATGCATCCCTTCCATGTGCGTCCAGTGAAGAGCAGCATAGGGTTGTAGGTGAGCATCTTGGCTGATGGAGGAGCACCTACCACGACGCTGGTCCCATAATTCAAATGGCAGGATGCGAGAGCATCAATCTAGGTTTAAAATGAAGAAGGCTATTTGTTTCTCAGGTCTCATAGTATCTTATGGGCTCATAAGTGGCCTACATACTCTCAGTTCTACCAGTTAGTTCAAGTTTCCAAGTCATGATGCTAAATTAGGCTCACATGCCTTTGGTTTTCTGTTTGTGTTTAAACATTCTCAACCCAACTCTAGTCTTAATTTACTTTTTCATACATGTGGCCTTTGAGGCAGAAATTGTTGTGTTCGGTGTTCATGGCATTTTCAGTGAGCCATGATCAAATGCAGGGGGAAATTCCGGTGATATTTTCAGACCAATATCACCATTTCAGATAAGCCTTGGCAAGTCATTTGAACTAAACTAAATTCAATGAACTATACTAAATCAATTAACTTATTTTTCAATTTTAGTGGGAAAATTATAAAATACTGAAATGTGAGATAAAGAAGACTTTTTTGTGTGACATCTCTGAGACTAACCACATCTTCTGGTCATTCACCCATCCAGGTTTCATTAACAGTTTTTTTAATAGATGCTAGATTGCAGCAATAGATGTTGGCATTTTTCAGAGATCAATGTTCATAAATATATCATCTGGAAATTAACAGGCCCTAACAACATGTCCAATATTCCATGTTGGCTCTGTAAGCAAACAGCCTGGAATGATATTTGTTGCTTTGGAATAACCCTAAGTGACCCCAGGAAAAGAACGTGATAACAATAGTAAATTAAAGACTAATTATTCCTAAATTACCAACAATTTTAAAGTGAATTGAATCTACTAGTCAACCATGAGCAAGATTGGCTTTGTCTCCTATTTCCGAGCCTCCGTATCTAGCCCAGGCTGGGGCTTCCTGACCCAGAAGCTCTGCACCTGCTTCCACCTGGAGGGCTGGAGCTGCTGGCTGTCACGATGCAGCCCTGTCTGAGAAAGCTGAAGGCTCTCATTCTAAGGGAACTCAGGTAAGAGAAAATGAATCTCAGGTGTACAGAGTGAGAAGTTGGATACATCGTGGACTTGAGGGAAGAGACTGCCAAACTTGGACTAGTCCATTTTCCCTCTGGATCTCCTCATCTCTCCTCAGGGAGTCATTTTGTGCTGTTTAGCTTGCTAACGTATAACAGATGGGATCACCTTTCCAGTAAATTTACATAGAAACGAGAAAGCGAACACAAAAATTTATTTAGATAATTGAGTATCTTGCACTCCAGTTACATGAGAGTAGTGTGATGTGATATTTAACTTTGGTCACTAAGACCTGCTCATAAGCTTTTGACTTTTTAAGCAAAATTGTCTTGTAGTTACCAGTTTTTACCTAACAAGTATTTCCACAGTTATTTGTTAATAAAGGTATGGAAAATTAGTTTTACTTTGCATGATCAAATAACTTGTGTATTGCGTTGCTTTCATAATCTTGGCTCTTACCATCGTTTCAAGACGCCCAATAACTTCGAAACTGTAGCCCACAGTGTTGCCTGTCATTTCTGACAGCACCTCATTGATGGGCTTGGTAAAGTCCTTGGGGCTGATGCAGTCGGTGGCTCCTACAGCCATGGCCTTCGCAAATTTGTCTTTGTTGAGGTCAATTCCAATGATCCTGTGTGCACCAGCTGACTTGCAGCCCATGATGACCGAAAGGCCAACTCCTCCCAGGCCAAAGACAGCACAAGTGGAGCCTGGGGTGACCTGTGGAGAGAAAAGTTCCTGAAAATGTTAGAGGTAGGATAAAAAAAGTTAAACCTATAAAGTATTTCCAATATGAGAAACACAAAATTCAGAGGATGTTAGGATCGGATCACTTATTCTGATGATAATGCCACAAAGAGGACCAGCAAGGGAAGGTCTGAGAACAGAAAAGGAACAAAAACAGTATTTGCCAAATAAATAAAAATCTTTTATAAAAGGGTACATTATAGAAAAGGCCTTTGTTATGGGAGTTTTTGCCGCCTTATAACCTCATAGCAGGATTAAATAAGCCCTAGATCTTTATTATCTCTTCTCCACAAAGGTATGCTTAAATCTGAGATTTTGGTCTCACCAGCACTTACTTAATAACCATAACTCTGAGTCATTTTTAAATAAATTTGTTTTTCATCAAAAGTCATCAAAAGATGATCTGTGTATAGCTGCAAGAAAGAAATATAGTTAAGTCACTTATACATTTTTACCCTGTACTATGCTATATTACAGGAGGTTCTAGCCAAAAGTAATTTTCCTGCTCGAAGAGCCCTAATCATTAGGTCATGGGAAGACCCAAACACAGAGAAACCCACATAATGGGTACAGCATTCATTGTGATAGTTCCTTCCTTCCTGCCTTCCTGCCTTCCTGCCTTCCTGCCTTCCTGCCTTCCTGCCTTCCTGCCTTCCTGCCTTCCTGCCTTCCTCCCTCCCTCCCTCCCTCCCTCCTCCCTCCCTTCTCTCTCCCTCTTTCTCTCTCCATGCCACCCCCACTTTTTTAGACCTTCTATTTTTGGCAGATATTACCTAAAGAAGTAGTTTCTGTGTATATATGTGTGCATGTATTTTTAAATATTTGCAACTATAGGCAGAGATTTATAGAGAACTGCAGAGGTGTTGTACCCACTCTCCACAAGTTTTAATTTCAGCTATAGAATTCTAATCCCTCAGTTTTGTTCCTGAATGTGGAGCTTTGAAATCAGTGCAATCATGTCCGCACATGTCATTCAGGCATTCATTCTTCCATTCAGCAAACTTCATTGATGGACTCCTTGATGGGCAACATTTTACAATTTTACACCAGCAACCAAACCAGGCATTCTCTGTCTTTTCTTCCAGCTCATCTGCTAACCTAATTGTCTAGATTTAAGATGGAATTTTTTGTTGATGGTTGAATTTCAGGTTCTAGGTTTAGGTACAGAAGCTTGATTCTAGTTTTGTTTGCTGGGAACTTGTTCAGCTTTTCTTATCAAATCTCTAGTAAGCTTGAGACTCTGGTGGCCCTGAAGTACGATCTTTCTGATCATTAAGGAACTGGAGCAATAAACTCTTACCGCTGGGTCTGGTTTCTTGACCCCCCTTGTCATCCTACCTCTGCGCTTTTAGGTGGATCCTGGCCCCCATCTTTGGTAACTTTAGATTGTTCCATTACACCCCGCCCCAAAACCCAACAAAAACAACAACAACAAAATCAACAACTTCTGTCACTTTTCCAACTTTCCTGTTCTAAGGAATGGGAACTGGAGATTAACATCTATAGTAAATGGTCTGCATCATTCCTGTGGAAGGAAAACCACAGTTTAAAATGAAAGTGTTAAATATTTCATTTTAAAATATTTTATTAATTTAAAACATCCTAAGGTTCTACGTTTTGCTATTGTTTTTCTTCACTGTTCTGATCCCCTTAATGTTCTTTAATAAAAACCTGTGTCTCACCTTCCAGGGGGTCTTTAGGACTGGCCCTTGATCGGCTTCTGGGAAATAACCTTTAAATCTTTGGACTATCCCGCTTGATGTGAATGTCTTTGTACTTGAGAGCCGGTGCCATGCCAGACAGTGCGTGCTGACACTGGCTGACGGTGAACGCCTGCTCTGGAATGCCTGGGGCTCAGGGTCATCGCGTGGCCTCTGGTGGTGCTGAGGTCTGAGAGGCTGTCAGTCATGTGCGTGCTGTGAGCCACGTTCCTGATGGAAACCCTGACGCCAGGACTGGGGTGAACTTCCCTGGCTGACAAACTGGTGTTGTCACAGACTGTTCCTGGGAGAATTCAGCTCTGCCCGTGGGACAGCACCGAGAGAAGACAACTGGAAGTTTGCACCTGGTCTTTACTAGACTCTGCTCTATGTGCCTTTTTCTTTCCTGGTTTTAACCTATATCCTGTAATAACCTAAAGCTGTGAGTATGATAACTGTTTTGAGTTATGTAAATTCTTTTAGTGAATCATCAAACAAAAGGGGTGTGGAAGATTCCCAACACATATTGTATTGTACGTTTGACCTATTTTCAAATAGGCAAAGGCAAGAACATTTGTTCCTTCAGGTGATTTTCCTGAAGATATAGCTTCTAGGAAAAAAAATATAACTACAAGTAGACAATGTCTTGGTTAATTGTATATTATCCAATTAATAATGTGGTACTAATATGTGAAGTACTATAAAACAGTTGTAAGTGCTAATGGAAAACTATATCCAATGTCTCTCTTTTCACCTTTATCTTGAGAAAATTATTCAGAAAAATTCTTAAGGAAAACCTCAAGGAGATCCTTGGGAAAACATGTTCCATCTCCAAGATTTTTCAAAGAAATCTAACAGCAAGTAGTAACCACAATATGCCCTGATTGTCATGCCAATGTTATGCATTTACAGGCCTCAGACTTGTCTGGAACCAACGTCTGGGACAAATCTAACTCCCTGGAGTTTATTGTCTAATAAGTAAAACTAAAGACATAACGAGACTTTGATTTTTGGGACACACACTATTATTCATAAAGCAATCATTCCCATGAATAATGGAAGAAGTTTCTATCAGATGGAAAAGACAGAAAAACAAGAACTGCTCTGAGCATGCAGGTGGTTTCATACTGAGAGTGATGCTAAGGAGCCAACCACACGGGGGCTCGGGAGATGAGTGTCCCAGACATCAAAACGGTACCCGCCCTCATGCCGGAGCAGCTCTGCAGGCGTCAGGATGCTCAAAGGGGCAAGTGTAGCTGCACCACAGTAGGTGAGATGAGATTGGTCCAAGTATGAGAACTACTGAAGGATTTTTGGCCAAAAAAGTAATGTAGCTAATTTGTTTTACAAAATTACTTTGGCTTAAAAATGGAGAAGTCCTAGAGTTGGTCAGGGAGAGTAATAAAGACAACAGACGGGAGGTCATAGCATCTGTCCAGTCAACATATAATGATGATAATTCATTGAAAAAAATGGAGACATTTAATATATACCCTGTACGTAAAGTTAGCAAGACTTGCTGTTGGATTTCATCTAAGGGGGTGATAAGGAATGAAGAAAATTGGAGTGGGCAAAATATGTTTGAGGGGCAGTGAGTAAGAAAATTAAGAATTCGGCTTTATACTTATTCAATCTGAAATACCTGTGAGGCATCCAAATGGAAAAGAATTTGGAGGAATTTGAGTTATAAATTTGGACTCAACTAACATATACAGTTTTTCTAAAGACTGAAGTTGATGAGAAACCACAGTGTGGGGTGACTTGGATTGCTTCTGGAATGGCAGTCCTATTATAAGTTACATGTTATTCTACTTACTTCTTGGACTCATTAAAAATAATATAAATTTTTACCCTGTTCAGTTTAGCTTGGTGGTTAGAGCGTCAGCCCGCAGACCAATGGGTCTCGGGCTTGATTCCAGTCAAGGACACATACCTCGGTTGCAGTAGGTGGCCAGTCAATGTCTCTCCCCTGCCCCCCCACCACACTCTATCTGAAGATAAATGGAAAAATATCCTCAGGTGAGGATTTAAAAAAAAAAGTAACATAAATTTATTCCAAATAAGCATTCCTAAAAACTCATTTATATACAAAAAAAAACCAAAAAAACCCATAAACTGGATTTGTTCTAAAAAAAAAAAAAATTCATGTTTTCATAATATACACAGCTATTATGGATTTAAGTGTGTTCCCTCCAAACTCACACATTGAAGTCTTAACCCTGGTACCTCAGAGTGTGACCTTATTTGGAGAGAGGGTCTCTGCAGAGGTAACCAAGCTACAATACGGTGATTGGCGTGGGCCCTGATGCAATGACTGGTGTCCTTATTAAAAAGGGGAATTTGGACACAAAGACTGGCAGAGCTGGAAGACGACAGGAAGGGACAGAGCGAGAAGGCAGCCAAGGAGAGCTGCCTGGAACGGACCCTTCCCTCACAGCCCTCAGAGAAACCCAGTCCTGCCCCACCTCGATTCTCGTCTCCAGAATGTGAGACCTACGTGTCTGTTTAGGCCACCCAGTCAGTGGAGCTCACTGTGACAGCCCTGGCACACCAGCAAATCAGCGCCGATACCCATTTGTGGAAGAAAAGAAAACTAGTTCTAGAATCTAAATTTTAAAATTTAGAAAGAAACCTGAAGGAAAAGTATTGGAAACAAAATTAAATCTAGAAATTTTATTTTCACTTATTTAAAAGTAAAATGTCTAATCGGAATTTTTCATTTTTTTTTCCTGCAGTTGGTTTGGCATTGTATAGAAACAGCTTGCATAAGAAATGTTTTCAAAACTCTTTAGGATTCCAAGAAAATCATTAAAAATTAACAAAGGAAGAAACTAGCCCACCTGGCTTCTTACCTTGCCAGTTTTAATAGCAGCCCCATATCCTGTGGAAAACCCACATCCGATTAAACAGACTTTCTCAGCAGGAGCTGTGGCATCAATCTTAGCAACGGAAAACTCGTCCACCACTGTGTACTCAGTAAACGTACTGGTGTTCATGAAGTTGTAGACTGGTTTGCCCTTGCATGAAAATCTGGTAGTGCCATCATCCAGTACTCCGCGACCAGTAATGCTATTTGACACATCAAATACACATCAGCTAATTCAATTAAAAATCACTACAGGAACAATTCAAATGGTACAAGAGCAAAAATGACCAAAACCTACTCGGTCTTAATGCATAAGTTTCCATTTGGGTTGAGGCAAGCATTGCATTCTCTACACTGAGACAGAAAGAGAGGGATGACTTTGTCACCTAGAGGGAAGACATCATGATATAAGATGTTGGTCATTAACATTAAAATATGAAGTAAACAAATGTGAATTGAGCCCATGTCCCATGCAAGAATTTCTTAAAAGTATTCTAAAGTTTATAAGCAGCCTAAGATTTGCTTGCTAAAGGTCGAGACTGCCAAATTGAGCGCCACTCTGCATCATCCATTCTCCTGGTATTCTTTTATCCTTCTAAATGGTGGGAAGGGTCTCTCTAATAACCCCTAGCTGTGCTGTTTCCTTTGATAGGATAATCACATCCTTCTTATCTCAAACTTGTGACTTGACCTCTGCACACCTGGTTTCACTGTGGTGACTCCTTCTCCAGTGCTCTCCACAATCCCAGTGGCTTCATGTCCCAAAATCACGGGAAACTTAGACACCATGACTCCTTTAATCACATGGTCATCTGAGCGACAGATTCCTGTGGCCAAAATCTGTGCTCAAAGACAAGAATGTTGCACCAGTCAGCACAATGGTCACTTCACAGCTGGGAGGACATTTAACTTGCTCTTGAAAAGATTATAATTGCTTACTCAGTGCAGTTGCCTAATACAATAGTGTTGACTCATAGAAGATTCTGAGCCTAACACCAACCATGGGACATGATCCCTCTCATCAAAGGATTTACAACATCGCTGCCTCTGGCACTGCCCTGAATCTCAGTGTCTGTTAATCATAAATTGGTGCTCTTGTGAAGGATGCAGATGTTACCATCTGGCCAGCACCAAAGTAGATTTTTAGAGCCAGGCTCTCTTAGGTCTCTCTGAATAAAAGGTAAAAGGAATGTCATGCATGAAGATAAGTGTGGAAGAAAATCTTACTGTACGACATGCACAGGTAACAGGAGAAGGTCACAGAAAGACTGGCAGCAGCACCTACTCAACAACCTAGTGTCTGAACCAGTGGTTAGGCTGTGTCCAAAGGAGTGAGGAAAACACCACAAGAAGCTGTCATTTCTCCAGGAACAGATGAGTTTCTCATTCTTTGAAAAAAGTAATCTCAATACTATCTGACTTCCAAGGGATTTTAAAGAAGGCATTAATTGCCTGGCCGGTGTGGCTTAGTGGACTGAGCGTCATCCCATGCACCAAAAGGTCACCAGTTTGATTCCCCATCAGGGCACATGCCCGGGTTTTGGGTTCGATCCCCAGTAGGGATCAAGCAGGAGGCAGCTGATCAATATTTCTCTCTCATTGATGTTTCTATCTCTTTCTCCCTCTCCCTTCCTCTCTATCTAAAAATCAATAAAAATTATATAAAATATAAAATAAAATAAATAATTACACTTTAAAAACATAAGTCATTAGTCATGACTACTAACCATTTTTTAAAGTCAAAATCATGTCAATAAAAATTCAACAACTAAAATTTTTAATAGAGCAGATTAGTAGTGTTGTTTTAATGAATAATTGCCAGTAATTTCATATCTAGTATGACAAGATCCTTAACAATAAACAAGAACCAGTAAGAGAATTAATAGACAACATTTGAGAAACATCTTATTTAAGACTCTAACCTCAGACAATGATATACTCAACAGGTGTGATAACATTGTAGGTTTATGCACTCTAAGGCTCATTACCTTGATGCGAACTTCTTTAGCCTTTGGTGGGGCGACTTCTATTTCCTCAATGGAAAAGGGTTCATTCGGCCCCCATAACACAGCTGCTTTGCATTTAATAACCTAAAAATTTAGTGAGAATTATAATGGATCATAATTATATCTATACATATAGAGATGCCCCAAATAATAAAAATATGGACAGAAGATTTTATATAACATTCTAATTTGCCCAGGATAATTTTCATTGAAAACTAGAATTGTAATCCTTGGAGATCATGTTGTGTGAACCCATGTTTGATATATGAGAAGTGTAGCCCAAATGATTGATCCATGGTCATATGAGAAGCAGGGTTAGACTAGATCCGAGCTACAGACTTTCCAGCCTTTTGCTTTTTTTTTTTTTGCTTGCAGTCACATAATATTTCACTCAATTAGATTCTTTTTTTTAATCCTCACCCGAGGACATTTTTTTTGCATTTATCTTCAGAGAGAGCAGAAGGGAGAAAGTGGGGAAAAGAGAGAGAGAAACATCGATGTGAGAGAGACACATCGACTGGTTGCCACCCATATGACCAACAACCCCAACCAGGGCGGGGACAAACTGCAACCGAGATACATGCCCTTAGTGGGAACGGAACCTGGGACTCTCTGGTCTGCAGGCCAATGCTTTGACCACTGAGCCAAACCGGCCAGGCCTCAATTAGATTCTTGTACTACATTTCAAATGAACAAACTGTCATCTTTGTATCACTTATCCACAAGGGCAAATTTATGAAATGGAAAATGCTGCTGATTTTTCTGCAAGAATTTAAGCTAGTATTTAAGTACTATTTAATCATGTAGCAATGGGGAAGAAGTTAGACAATGAGCAAGGTAGAAATGACGGGAACCACAAACATCATGAAGTATAGATAGAGAATGAGTTCCTGGATGACTCAATCTGGGACTCTGCATCTTTGTATTCCTTTTTTGCACCTTAGCCTAGTTTTTGCATGTCATTGAGTCTTCAATGCTTAAAGCGAAACATGACAGAAGTAAACATTTTTGATACACACAGCGCTTAATCAGATTTCTAAGGAAAGCATGGAGACTTCCAATCCTATTACTCCTGCCATACCATACTCACACTGAGAGACATGCAAAGGACGTAAGGAGGAAAATTCAAGTTAATAAATATATTGTGTAGTATTTTCTTTCCTCAGTTATAAAAAGGTATTTGGGTTTTTTTTTTGTCAATAAAAATAATGAGCCTTGGCTGGTTTGGCTCAGTAGTTGGAGCGTCTGACTGCAGACGAAAGAGTTGTGAGTTCAATTCCAGTCAAGGACACATACCTCAGTTGCGGTTCGGTTCCCGGCCCTGGTAGGGTCATTCAGGAGGCAACCAGTGGTTATGTCTCTCTCACATCAATGTTTTTCTCTCTCCTTCTCCTTCCCCCTCCCACTCTATCTGAAGATAAATGAAAAAATATCCTCGGGTGAGAATTAAAAAAAAAAAAAGAAATATAATTCTATTTTAAGTCTATAATAACTTTTATTTGATGAGAACACACAGTATGCTAAAATGGGTGGCAAAATGAACAATTCATGTATGTCAGGACCGTTGGTAAATAATTTATAGCACACATCAGGATACTTAAGAATTACTTTCCTTATAGATGGTCACATTTTATTTTGGGGCAACTTTATTGATGTTTCTTTTACATATAAAAATTAAATCTATTTCAGGACTATAATTTGATGTCATATGTATTACCACAATCAAGCTAAATAACCCATCCATCATCTCTACATAGTTACAAGGGTGTGTGTGGTGTGCATGTGTGTGTGCATGTGTGTGCTGAGAAGATTTAAAATCTATCCTTTTAGAAAATCTCAAGTATTCAATGGAATATTGTTAACTCTCATCACCAGGCTGTACATTACATCTCCAGAACTCATTCACCTTGCATAACCAAAACATTGTACCCTACTTAAGAGTATATTGACCTTAGACAGAGAGCAGACTGGTGGATGCCAAAGCGGGGCACGGGGGGGGGGGGGGGTATTGGAAAACTGGATGAAAGAGGTGAAGGGATTAAGAAGTGCAGATCGGTATTTACAAAACAATCAGAGGGCGGTCTAGTACAGCATAGGGAATATCGTCAGTAATGCTGGATGACTGTGCGGTGCCAGGTGGGGGCTGGCGGTGTTGGGGGGAGGGGAACACGTTATAAGGCATGTGATTGGCCACTGTTCTGTACACTCAAAACCAATGGAATAATGCTGAAGGTAGACTGTAGTTGAAGAAAGAAAGAAACATTAGAATTGCTGATATATCAAGCATCCAGCCAAGTACAAGACAATGACAATGGTCACCTCATTTCACTGACAGAGTGCTTCATTCTTTAATTGTTCTATAAAGTTCAGCTTTTGGAGTTTACCAATATCAGTTTCACTTACGAATTAAAGAGCTATTTAGAGTTTTATAAAAGGAATACCGTGACCTTTCACCCTATAATTTCATTTTTAAAATCTACCTTAAAATGGTGAACTCAGACCTGGCTGGTTTGGCTCAGCGGTTAGAGCATCGGCCCATGGACTAAAGAGTCTCGGGTTCGATTCTGGTCAAGGGCATGTGCCTTGGCTGTGGTTCATCCCCGGCCCTAGTCAGAGTCCTGCGGGAGGCAGCAAATTGATATGTCCCTCTCTTATCAGTGCTTCTCTCTCACACGCTCACTCTCTCTCTCTCCCTCCCACTCTATCTGGAAATGAAAAAGGAAAAAAAATTTTTTTAAATGGTAAACTCAGAAAAATATAATATATATTAGAGATTATTACAGAACTACTTATAACGAGGACTAAGTAACCAATATGTGTAAACCAATATGTAGGCAATAATGAAAAACTTATTAAATAAATTGTGATAAATCTAGAAGTTAGAGTTAGAAATTCAAAACATGTTTACAAATTTAAGTAGGAAAATAGGATAAAATATTTACAAATAGTGTGAGTACAACTAAAATATGGGTGAAAATGTGAGGAAGAACGTACAAACAAAAACGAAGTTGGCCTGGCCGGAGTGGCTCAGTGGGTTGGCATCGCCCTGTGCACTGAGTGGTTGCTGATCTGATTCCTGGTCAGGGCACAAGCCCAGGTTTCGGGCTCCATCCCCAGCAGGGGGACTGAAGGAGGAGGCCGATCCATGTTTCCTTCTCACATTGATGTTTCTCTCTCTCTCTCTCTCTCTCTCTCTCTCTCTCTCTCTTACTTCATTCCTCTGACTCTAAAAATCAATAAAAACAACTTTTTTAAAAAATGAAGTCAATGGTAGTCTTTAGGATGTAAGACTATGGTTGATTTTTTATCCTGTTTCCCTATTATTCTAATTTTCTAGGATGATTATTATTATAGCTTGGACTGTGTTGCCCAACATTCATAGGTTGAAGTCCTGACCCCCAGAACCTTGGAATATCTCTGTACTTGGAAAGAGTCTTTTAATAGGTAATTAAGTTAAAATGAGGTTATTAGGGTGGGCCTTAATCCAATCTGACTGGTGTCTACATAGGGACACAGACATGTGCAGAAAAAAGACCATGTAAATACAGAAAGCTGGTCATTTACAAGACAAGGGAGAGGCCCTCAGAGGAAACAACCTGGCTGACACCTTGATCTCAGACTTCCAGCAGGCAGAACTGAGAAAATAAATTTCTGCCGTTTAAGCCACCCGGTCTGTGGTGCTCTGCTATGGCAGCCCTAGCAAACTAAATATTCAGTATAAAAGGGGAAAAAGTAATCCTCAATGTACGGGGAGCCCCTGCTCTGATGAGCTGCACTGACACACTGGGGTAACAGGGGATGTGCATATAACCCTATGCAAACCACACTAGTACATAACCATCTCTATCAACATTTCACAGCTTTTATACTATATCTTAAATTACACACTGTATTACTAATTATAATTAGAAACTGCCACCTTGAGCCTACTGAGTTCCTCAGCACTGGAAATGTTCTAATAACGGCTACATAGCTACTTTATAGAGGCAGTATAACTAGAACTGAGCACCTGTTGGTTGGATGGAGTTACAGATTTTAAAACTACCTTCCCACCATAAAATTCATTAGAGTTGCTAGCCTCTATAGTGCAAAATTAATTCCCCCACTAATGTAGTTTTGCTGGGTTCCTGACTCAAACTAGAATGCTTTCATTCTACTTCTGTCCAATCCCAGGGACAAAGATTTCTAGTTCTCACAGCATATGGCCTCCGCACATTGCCCAGACTTCAAACCTCACAGTAGGCTAAAGGCCAAGTTGTTTAAATAAAATCCAAAATGGACAAATAAAACAAAAGCACCCAACACTCTAAACAACCGACTACCATTCAAAGCAAGGAACTATACTGACCAATTTGCAAATGGAAAAAATGCCAAAGCTGTTTCTAAAGTTACAGACTGAACATAGTTTACTACAGTGTATTCTTGTTTTTAAACTTATATTTTGATGAAAACTACATCCTTAGAAAAATCTTCAAAGCCTGATGCCTTGTTGTCTACTTTGCTTTCCAGAATTAACATTTCCCATAGTTAACAGCAGGAAAATCTTCTCCCAACAGCTGGGAACCATCCCTGATCTCCCATTGACCGAGAACAGAATGCAACACATTTAAATGAGACTGAAAATTCTCTTTATGGAAACATTTTGCTGCCCAGAGCAAATGCCTAACTATCCTGAAATTAAGTTATTAGTAATGTCAGTGTAAAGCACAATATAAACAGTATAAACCATTTCTCCATTTTCCATCGATGTCTTACCAAAAAACCCTTCCATATACTGTTTTATCTTGTTTTCATTAGCAGGCTGATACACCCTCCCCAGTGTCTCTTTCCCAGGCATTTAATTCCTCAAGAAACAACCCCAAGTAGTCAATTACTTTTAGGTATTCAAAGTTCTAAAAATCAACCCACATTATTAGATCAAGATCATGAGGATACAGAAGAGTTCTGCTTACTTTTCCAGCAGTGCCCATCCTGTCTTTCTCCTGGTTCTGTAGTTCAGTAAACACAGACTGTTTTTCACTGATGTTTAGCTCACCCTGTGGTAACTAACAGCATCTTGTACCCTCAGATAAATAGTCTAGCTCAAAAGGTCCGCCTTCAGCAATATGACTCAGAGCCTCCGAGACCTTGCAATGGTCCATGAGCTCCACCCTTTGCAGAACAAGTTATAAAAATAAACACAGCAACTTATGATCAACCCAACAGTAGAGATCTAACAAAGACAGAATAATCAAACCTACTGAAAAGGGCTGAAAGCATTCTTATCTGCCTTACAAGGGGGGGTATAGAAACAGGTCAGGTTAGTTGAGTTCCAGACAACCCACTCAAAACACACTATGTGCTTCGTCGGCTGCTCTGGTCGGCACAGCCGGGCGCAGGGATGAGCATGCATGTTTGCATGTGCACTCTACTGCGTTCTGCAAAAGCCTGATGTAGTTTGTGGAAAACCTATCATTAAACACAAATGGCCATAGGGCCAAGGACATGTAATCAAATTAGAATAGAAGGTACAGGTTGGAAAAGGAGGGTTGGGAGTACATAGAACATTGATGTGGACGGTTCCTAGGTGTTTGGAGGGTAGAAAGAAAAGTCAATCTGCACATGGACAGATTACAATCTGAACCCAAATCACCGTTAGACACAAAATGGTCTCATGTGGTTGTAGTCTGCGCACAGTGCGGGGCAGAAGGCACACTGAACTGCATGCGGCCTGCAGCCTGGCTCTCAGAAGCCAAAGGCATTTCACTTACCTGGGCAAGTGCTTAACTCTTCAGAAGTGGCTGTTTAACCACTTCACACCACTGTGCCTTCATATGAGATGCAATGACACTGGGATCTCCGGACTCACTGACTGTTGATAGGAGAGTGTCCACGGCGGGTTGCATTAGTTATAGCACCGGGGGCACCCCGGCTCACCACCTCTAAATGAATTCAGTCTGCACACGGGGGATTTTACTCTTGTGGACCAAAAGGGCAGGAGGTTTTCTAAGTCTTCAGAAAAGCTGTTTAGACTGTGAAGTATTTTTCAGATAAAAACTATGAACAAAATTTTATTTTGAAAACTTGCTATAGCTTTACCACAGAGATCTCTCTCGATATATAGTATTGCAGTTCTCATTTAAAATGTATTTGTGCCTAATTCAGAATCAGCAATTAGAATAAGTAAATCTCACCCTGTAGCCAAATTTAAAAAAAAAAAAAATTTTTCTTGATTTATTTTAGAGAGAGAGGAAGGGAGAGGGAGAGAGAGACAGAAATATTGATGAGAGCGAACATCGATTGGCCGCCTCCTGCATGCCCCCCACTGGGGATTGGGCCCACAACCTGGCATGTGCCCTGACCGGGAACCGAACTGGGGACCTCTTGGTGCACGGGTCAGCTGCTGAGCCACACTGGCTGGGTCACCCCACAGCCATATCCAATCCACCAGGTAAAGGCGCTACCAGTCGGTGAGGCCTGAGTGTGAGCCATTGTTTTAGCTGCAAACACTGAAGAAACCAGGCCCGTCTTGCAGGGATCATCAGACAAAGTGAGCAGGTGTGGACAAAACAGGTCATCTGAGTCTCCACCTGCAAAACAAAGAAACCCAAGTTTATCTCAGCAAAGAAAAGTCATTTACTCATGAACAAAGGCAAAGGAGCACCAAGGTGGGCGGTGCCGGCACAGAGATACCCATTCGGTCAGCTCCCTCCTAAGGCCTTGGCACAACCTCATAGAACATTGATCTAAAAACAAAATTTTACCCAAAATACTGTTATTGAGTGAGGTTTATATCTCTACAAACTTTATGGTCCTAATCCCTTCTCCAGGAGAACAGTTTGGATGGTAAAATGTCAAAAGCTTCCACGTGGGAGGTAACCTATTAAAAAAAGGTTGAGCTGAAAAATCTCAGTCGTGTTGGGTAGTAAAGCTCATCAGCCCTAATTTTAGGTCTGGAGAAGTCGCCAGCTGTGACCTTTCCTCGGAGCTTCTGTGAAATCCTGGGGCCACGTCTCTCAGGCTCCTGAGTCTCCTAACTGCTGTGGGCCTGGAGCCGCTCCAGAGGTTTCCACGAGCCTCCAAAGAAACTGCGAACCTCAAAGGACCCGTGGACTCTACTGCTCAGGACAGAAGACACCAGGCAGGGCCCTGAGCAGGTGCTTCAGGAGCAGGGCTTCGGAGCTGGGTGCCCCTGGTGCAGGACCAGGAGCCTTGCTGGAATACGCTGGCCTCAGCCACCACACTCGTAAACAGGGAATGACAATCCACACGCGGCTCATCCGTCCCGGGCTCAGTGTGAGGATCATAAACCACTGCCTGGACTGCCTGGACCAGATCAGCAGTAAATAGGATTTTATTAACTTGGTTCCCATTGGTAACCAAAGGTTTGGATTTTTAAAACATTTCAAATGTAACCCCTTGGGACAACATGACCTGGCGTCCAGGCTCAGAAAGACTGTCTTGCAGAAACTAACTGTGTGTCCCAGAAGCTCCAGAATTTCCAGAGAGCTCGGGGCTAAGAATCTCCTGCACCTGGAGGTGCCACCAAACCTACAGGTGGCGTCAAGGGGGCAGAACTGCTCCTCATGTGTTCTGCGCAGGACTGAGAGGGTTCCCGGGATGCAGGACAGTCAGTGCTAAACCCAAGAGAGTCCGAGGCAAATGGGATTGTCACCCTCGAAACACTCTGTGTCACCTCAAGTCTGTGAGTGTGTGTGGTCCATGGGGTCATGTCTGCTCCCAGTGTCAGCCCTCCTCTCTCACAGGCCTGGTCCTTCACCCTCCAGTGACAGCCTTCTGGCAGGGACACCAAGCAGGACTCAGATCACTCCAGTCTCAGGATGACAGCAGGGAAGAGAAACCGGTCACTGCAGTCAGAAGAACCAGGTGGAGTATCAGCTCCAGCTGTGACAGGGCAGTGCTTGTGGCAACACCCTGAATGCCCTGACCTTCGGGAGGAGAGGGGATCACACCGACTTCAAGGCTGGCCGAGGGCCCCAGTGAGGTGATGGTGCGGAAGTGCTCATCAGCTGTCAAACACTCAGGAAACGAAAATTACAAGAAGCGATATCTCCAAGACTGAGCGAGTAAGGGAAGGGCCTTTGTGTGCACAGGGAAAAGGACCTTAGCTTATTGCTGAATCATTCTCAACCGCAGAAGTAGTTATGCAATTATAATACTGAACAGTACACATCTGCTAGTCATCCGGAATCGCCAGAACACTACCAACTTTCGCTCTGCCTTAGCCAACGCCACACACTCAGGGTGAGGTTTTATCCTGGCCATTGTTACTGAAGTTTTGTCTCCAACACTGCGGCCCAGGTGGCTGCAAGCTGGAACCCATGCTTTGATGCCGGAGCTCCACCCGGCCCTGTGAGGACGGCCTTGCTGGAGAGCAGGGTGCGGCTTTCGGCAGCTCTGCCCTGGCAGGGGACAGGGGCTGATCCCTCCCAGGCACGCTGCCGCCCTGCCAGCTCTCAGCACCGCCGTGTGAGGCGTGCTGGGCAGTGTTCACAAAGTCTTCTTTTATTTATTTATTTATCCTCACCTGAGGACATTTTTCCATTTTTTGTTCAGATGGAGCGGGAGGGAGAGAGAGGAAGAGAGAGACAGAGAGAAACATTGATGTGAAGGGACACATTGAGTGGCTGCCACCCACACGACCATCCAGGGCCAGGGACAAACTGCAACCGAGGTACATGCCCTTAGCGGGAACCGAACCCGGGTCTCTCTGTACCGCAGGCCGACACTCCAACCGCTGAGCCAAACCGGCCAGGGCTCACAAAGTTTTCTTCTACACACACACCTGCCCTCGAAAAGACTCCGAAGCAGATTTTTCCCAAGGCAAGGGCTCCACCTCGACTCCGCATGGACTCTCCGTTGCACTCAGCTCACCAGCTGCGTGTGCTGGCTGATGAGAATTTCCGTTCGGGGAGCTCGGCAATTGTGGAAAAATATAAATCCCTGTTCTTTTGTTCCCCTCCTGACCTCCCTTGGAAAAAAAAACAGCTCACAGAGATATCAGTTTTGACACGTATCTGGCTGAGGACAAGAGGAACATAAATCAAGGCACCAGAGCCCGGCCATCCCTCACGACAGAGAGGAGCCGAGGGACTGTGTCCGCAGAGGCGTTCAGGCCACAGACCGTCACAGCGCCTGGAAGGCAGAGGCCTCGGGAAGGAGGCGACGGGGCTCTGGAAGGCCTTGCGAGCCTGAGTCGAGTTCAGTGATTTGTTCTCTCTTGGCATCTATTTCCAGAGCTCCCCTCAGGGCTCGTCTCAGGAAACACGGAGGAGGATCCGGGTGTCAGCTCCCGAGGTGGCTGCAGACCCTTCTCCACGGCAGATCCACGGCGTGGTCAGCCCTCCTTTGAATTAAACAATTTTCCTCAGGAGCTAATACTGATTTTTCTCCAGGCTCATGCTGACAACTTCTCACTGATTTTGATTTGCCTTAATAATTATATACCAACAAAGCCAGTAGATGTTCCAATTTTCAACAACTGTTAAGTAAAATATTTTAAAATAATTTGATAAAATTGAAATACAGTTAAGATAAAAATTTGTTTTAACACACTACTAAGATATCTTTCACGCCTGCACTACCTTTGGATTTCCCACAGTGGCCATTAGGTAACACAAAGGTCTCCTCTTTACTGTATAAAAGAAAAGAGCATAGGAACAATTAGGTTTGTCTAAAAATCCTATAAGTTTTAATTAATTTAAAACTGTTATGAAAGTTTTTATCAACCAAACTTAATATATATATATTTAAAAACCTGTAAAATTAAGGAAAATTTGCCTTTCTAGTAAATAGGTGAATATAAATGATCTTTTGAATATTTTTCAAATAAAAAAATTGTTTCAGCTCAAAGATAGGAATAGTGACTATCACCAAAGGAATTTATTTCCAGGAGTCTAGGTTCTTTTCTTTGTTTTAGTTTATTTAAATTCTGGACAAATGTTAGGGGTATGGCTCAATAACATGAATCGCCAGAAGCCTATGGCTTACTTCAGTCTTTCTTTAGATTCAACATCCAAGACCGATCTCCTTGAC